TTGAAGACAAAACCGACGCATTTGAGATGGAAGTTTGTGTGGGAGCCCAGTCAATGTCGGACTTACTGTGTGTGGGGCCTGTGCTTGTGCAAGATTACATGTTGTCGGCGTATATATCACTACGCTGACGAGGTTTAACCGCGCGAGAATTACTGTCATCATCCAGTAATAATGACAATGATGACCCCCACACAGGTTATTGCGTCAATTACACCTGAAACTGCAACTATTGCTGAATAATAATTATGAGATGGAATCTAGCTTGACAAGGCAAATTCAATGAAGCGCACTAGCGTTTTATGTTGGATTTGCCTTTGTCCAGTTGACATTCATATTGCCCATGTATACCAACTGAAAGCAGTAAAGGATACCCGTCCCAGGCAGAGCAAAACACTTAAGAATTCCACTGCCGTTTTTCAGTTTTAGAGTCACCTGCCCCTGATTACCATTTCGACAGTGTTGCTATCTTCCCGTGAATACATTTCGTTTGAATAACTGTTCGACTACTGAGTTGTGTTCATTGTGTTGAAAATCTCCAATCAAGAAAGTGTGAGGGAAAAACCTGTCGTACACTGTAACTATGTATACAACGTCGTCGTGGCAGTCATGGCCGACCCGCAAGCCCGACGTAAAAACGTGCGTTTTGAACGTAAACTAAACGCATTAACTGACAATAATAACAACAACGACGTCCAATATCAACCACAAGACCTCGACTATATGATGAAACAAAGTGACACTCTTTCACACATTGAAAAGACGCTGACTACTCAGGCCCCTACTACTGACAATTTGACTAATGAGTCGACACCGACTTCCGATGAGGATCCATCCAGTACAAATGATCACGAATACGCAAATAACCTTTTAACTTGTTCGCAGGGTAGACGAGTGGTTGAACACGCGATGCTATCTGAATACCAGCAAGGTTGTACGCAATGCGGTACTAGGCTACGGTTTTGCAAATAACCAACAGGGAAGACATTTTGGCATGGGAAGAATTTTATACATACAAGTAATCCTATGACATCACAAGAGTCAGGATTATATTTTATATTTGTTAATATATGCCTACTAGGCCTATATTTCAGGTTCCTTTTTTATATTTATATATAGTACATACAACAGTGATACTTTTTCAATGTGATATTTTATACCACAATATTGTATGTTGTTATTTGTACATAATGTAAAAGTTTTGTATTGCTATATATATATATAGTACATACAACAGTGTTAATTTTTCAATGTGATATTTTATACCACAATATTGTATGTTGTTATTTGTACAAAATGTAAAAGTTTATTATTGCTATATATATATAGTATACCATACAACAGTGTTAATTTTTCAATGTGATATTTTATGACACAATATTGTATGTTGTTATTTGTACAAAATGTAAAAGTTTATTATTACTATATATATATATAGTATACCATACAACGGTGTTAATTTTACAATGTGATATTTTATACCACAATATTGTATGTTGTTATTTGTACAAAATGTAAAAGTTTATTATTGCTATATATATATAGTATACAATACAACAGTGTTAATTTTACAATGTGATGTTTTATACCACAATATTGTATGTTGTTATTTGTACATGATTTATACGTTTATTATTGCTATATACATAAAGTACATACAACAGTGTTCATTTTTCACTGTGATATTTTATACCACAATATTGTATGTTGTTATTTGTACATGATGTAAACGTTTATAATTGCTATATATATTTAGTACATACAACAGTGTTAATTTTTACATGTGGTATGTTGTTATTTGTACATAATGTAAAAGTTTTGTATTGCTATATATATATAGTATACCATACAACAGTGTTATTTTTCAATTTGATATTTTATACCACAATATTGTAAGATGTTATTTGTACATAATGTAAAAGTTTATTATTGCTATATATATATAGTATACCATACAACAGTGTTAATTTTTCAATGTGATATTTTATACAGCAATATTATATGTTGTTATTTGTACATGATGTAAAAGTTTTGTATTGCTATATATATATATAGTACTTACAACAGTGTTAATTTTTCAATGTGATATTTTATACGACAATGTTGTATGTTGTTATTTGTACATACATAATGTAAAAGTTTATTATTGCTATATATATATAGTATACCATACAACAGTGTTTATTTTTTACTGTGATATTTTATACGACAATGTTGTATGTTGTTATTTGTACATAATGTAAAAGTTTTGTATTGCTATATATATATAGTATACCATACAACAGTGTTAATTTTTCAATGTGATATTTTATACCACAATATTGTATGTTGTTATTTGTACATAATGTAAAAGTTTATTATTACTATATATATATTATATACCATACATCAGTGTTAATTTTACAATGTGATGTTTTATACCACAATAGTGTATGTTGTTATTTGTACATGATGTAAAAGTTTATTAATGCTTTATATATATGGTATACCATACAACAGTGTTAATTTTTTAATGTGATATTTTATACCACAATATTGTATGTTGTTATTTGTACATAATGTAAAAGTTTATTATTACTATATATATATAGTATACAATACAACAGTGATAATTTTACAATGTGATGTTTTATACCACAATATTGTATGTTGTTATTTGTACATAATGTAAAAGTTTATTATTGCTATATATATTTATAGTATACCATATTGTGATATATTTGTTTATACCAAAAGTTCAATGGATCATCAAAAGGTTGTGAAATAATATTACTTAACTTGGCCGGCAATGTGAGCTCTCTGGGTACTTACACATAAACAACACTGTCTTAATTCATCGGGGCTTACATGAGTGATCAATATAAGTTGCAATTTGCCATAATAGTTGTAAAGTAAATAGAGTTTATATTATTATACATAATCTATATTCCATCTTTGTGTTCACTGAATACTGCCTACAATTGCATTTATTTAATTACCACCAACAGTTACGTTTACAAACCAAGGCAACAACCTAACCTTATAAGGCACACGCAAGCTCATCTAAAATTGACTTTCCTCCTATATCTGACACTGCGTGGATCACACACATCCCCGATTATCCACCGACACGCTGTCTGGTATTCCCTGGCTATGTATTTCGTCAGTTGCGGGATATAGTTTCATCAACAGTTAGAGTTAAATTCCTTTAAGTTTCAAAGTGATGAGAACAAAGAGTTTGTCACAATTTGCCAAAAAACGCAACAAAAATACTTCCATGGGTCTTGTCAAACATGGAGGCCCCAGACGGGAAGCGAATGTATAGCACTTACACTCCAAATTGCCCAGTGGCGATGTAACGGCTCCTCATTGAAATCAACTGATCCCACGGCACAGAAGTTATTTAACCACTACAGCAAAGAAGCGACGTCAAAGTCTAAAATATGGTTCACAAATAAACCTAAAACGCCTCGTACCTTCTGCGGGTTTATGGCCGACATTTGTAAGGGTGCTGAAACGATTTTTGTTTTGCTCATCTGTGTATTTCGTCACCATTGACAACGCATCATCTTTCCCGCGAAAAAGGCTGTTCTATTAAAGTTGTTTTCAGGACGGTGCATTGTTTTTTTACTTATTTTTTTCGTAATAAGACGATAATGCTTGATTCCACTCTCCCCTTTCCATAACAACTCATCCCCACCCAGCCCCAGCTCTTTGTGGAGTGGAGGCTGATATCACTGTAAACGTTTGAAATTAATTACTTTATCCCGACCGAGCTTATCATATATTTGTCATTTAACGCTCCGGCCAGTCCATCCTCAAGGCAGACAACATCAAATGCGTTGTTGAGCTTGATTTAAACAATTTTAACATAATACATATTTTCAAACCTACATTTTGCTAAATTACCAGTACTACAATTAATGTTAAGTAAATGTTCAAGAAAACTAAACAACAATTGGATCAAATCTAATATCAGGGATTACAATATTCTACCAAGCTACACCTTTAATACGACCACAAGCCTGATTTCTGCAGAGCTTTTGATCTATAGCTATAATCTCTTGACAATATAATAGTCCAGATAACTAAACACGGAATAACTTACATTTTATCATATGTAGGTATGATTGTCATCCAGTTAACGTATATTTGACACAGGTGTAACGCAATCAAAATGAGTTATGGTTCATTCTAGTTTTCCTGACCCTAGGATAGGAGAAACTCGGACAGTGATGCGATATATAGTACGAAGTCCGTAAAACCAGACAGGCCATAAGGTACGGAAGGAGTACTGTTATCATGTGACTAAACGCTAATACTGTTAGCTTGGGTCTCAAACACATACATCTGTAACGTCAAACATGGTTGGCTAACTTTAAGAGATAATATACCCTCTGCTTCGAATTCATGATCATTTTGCGTTGTTGTATTTACTTTTCGTTAAATATAAATAGTGATGCGTTCACTACTTGCTCAGGGTAAGGGTAGTAGGGGGTGGTTATGATTTTTTATTTTATTTAGACGTCTTCATATAAAGTTTACTTTTGGGGGGAGGAATGGGGAAATGTTTTTTTTTTCTCTTTATAAAAATCATCGTGCGGTCCGGTTTAATAAAGTATGTCTCTTGCTATTGCTTTCCGTCCAAATTTTGTGTTCTGATGTTATTTAGTGTCGAAACTTTAATTTTGTAAGCATGTAAGCAACCGAAGTCACGTTTGTCATTTCTGTATTCATGGTTGAACATTTAATGATAATGCTAATTATTTCTCTTTTACTATCTTTCATTTATTTAATCGTATACATCTGAATATCAAAAACACATAAGTCCCTTTGAGATACATTGTATAATTATTAAAACACAAAATAAACATATTTATGTGTATCAAGTGAATTTTATTTATATACATGTAATCGGCCATTGACAATTATATCTGTGAATGAACTTAGGTTGTGAAATAACGACCTATTTACCCGTGTACAGTTAGTCGTTTTATCAGGAGTTACCCGGACAACTCCGGACATGTCGGGTAACCGTTCACAAAGATAACACACCTACTTGATTCAAAATTGACCTTGATTCTTCGCAGTCAGTTCAGTAAAGAACCTTTTGTTCAACGTAACGATATTTTCAAATCGTCACTGTATTTTTGAACGGATTGACTTAACGACGACTTAACTGATCATCACCTGCAGCATGGCTAACTTAGGGTTTTTAGCAACAGGTAAAAGCATGTTTTTAGTACGTACAAAGATATTGATATGAAATTGTACTTTTATTCAGAATATGTATTTCTATTACAGTATGTATTTATACGAGGCCAAAACAAATAATATATATCGTTCAAGGAACATGACTGAAGAAATAGGTTAGGTTGGTAGGGATTTTTTTTATATACATATTTTAAGAAAGGGATTGGGAGGGGCTAATTTCAGTAATTACAAAAATCATCAAACAGAAATATTCAGACGAATTATTTTCAGTTTTCATTAAATTTCCATTTGTATTTTAGGTGCATTTGTGTGACATAAATTGTTAGGTTTGGAGGTAAAAACTATAGTTGATCGGAATGTGTATTTTAAGTGCATTTGGGTGACATTAAATTGTTAGGTTCGGAGGTAAAAACTATGGTGGGTCGGAATACCAGAAACAGTTTATTTGGTGTTATTTTTGTCTGATACATATATACTGTTAAGCATTAATATAAACATATAGAATTGCTAAAACATTTATGCAACACCAGTCAATCATTCGAAACGTACGAAACCTGTCTATCACAACTAATTTTCTGTCTTTTTTATTTGATATTGAATTTGGTTTCAAGAGATAACTCGATTATTTCTACGATGAAAATTCTAAGTTCTAAACACGTTTAATTAATATCGAATAGGATTTCTGTTTTAATATACAATTAAAAAATCGCGAAAACGTTGTTTTCTTCAGATGTAATTTTATTGGTTTTGTTAGTATTAAGAAAAAATAAACGAGAGTAATAAAATAATATATGATTGGATTCATTGTAAACGTAACTATTTTAGACTGAAATCGTCTAATCGCGGCGCTAATGGACGTATCTTTCTTGGTCTAAAATCCCCCTGAAACATGCGCTTAATAAACTAGTGCAGTCTGGAGGCGTCAAGTAAACTGATACATTTATGTGTGGTATTGCATATTTATCAGTTATCATGTTCATCATCTATAACCTACTTAAAACATGTTGTTCCACTAACTAATAAGATGATGAACACATGCTTAAGATTGGTCAGTGTAGAAATATAAGTATATACTTGAGCAAATGAGACGCTAAATTGTCTCCATGTGTTCATCGACGATGATTTGATGAGGTGTATCACATGAAATAGGGAAAAAGCTCTTCGTAAATAAATAGTTTTCAAAATCACGTAAATATTTGAAATAACACCATGTTGAAGTAAATGCGCAGATGGAGTAACTAATGACAAGTATACACCTTGTATTCTAGTTAAAGGTACAGTAGAGCAGTACGTCGAAAATGATGGGCTATCTCATCAACCACTCGTTGATAAAAAGTCCACATGCGCTGACCTCTCTACCTTTTTCTACGAACTTACAATGGCAATTGTTCTCGCGGCACGCCCAGAAACCACCGTAGAACTTCCGTATCCCACTAAACTACATATGTGTATGACAAAAACGGTTTTGCTACAGCGATCTTTTTATCACTATTCGTTCTGATTAAATGTTGGCGTTCATAGTGGTTGATGTTCCTACTATTGGTTAGTCAGGAACAATCTACCCACTTCAGTTATCGTTTTGCTTCGCTATTGTGCCTCTATAAACAGTGATTTATTTTGGAGAGGGTTTACATAAGCTTCGTCTGCTTCCCGTTGGTTTTGTCTTCATTGATTAAAACACACATGAGTATCATATGACAGGGAAACAGAAATGGTTGATAACGTGTACTGGGTATCCTAAATAATCACTCACAGCGAGCCCACATATGTGTTTTCCTTTTAGGACTTCTTGAATTTGTCATTCGAACTACACAGACAGATGAATAATTATTTGGTGTATGCAAACAAAGTTCTTTGTGCAGTTTTAGGCAGATTTGAAGAGTTAAACGTTTACCTGTTTTCTATTTTTTGTTAATAACTCTTTTTTTTTTATCTTTCAAAATTACCGTAGTTTCGTATAAACTTAACGCCACCTGTTTACGGAAGATAAAGCAAATTAAGGAATATTACAAAATAACGTGAAATGAGAAAAATGACTGCAAAAATAAGTGTGTTTTTTTTGTATATTTTGATTCAATTGCATTTATAAAATATATTTGTTTATCTTTTGTAAAAAAAAAAAAAAAAAAAAAAGGCTCGTACAAATATTGACAGTATATCTAAGAAATTACTACTTCTTATGCAGAATCTTCTGTGGCAAGACTGCAACTTTTCATTAACCTTTTTGTTTCCATGTTTATTTCTATTCTTTATAAAATTCAAAATATTTTCTATGATAACAATCTGTAAGTAAATAATGGAAAAATGTTGCATAAGATGATCTAGTATCAAAGTCTATACACAACTAAACATTCCTGAATTTTTACAGTTAATCAAACCTGCCAATATAATTATAGCAACATTGAGGGCTACGTCGTCTGATATTCATTTACGATCTGATTGGATATCGTTTTTACATGTAATCCTGTTTCTTAAAATACCAATTTCAGTTTGTATATCATAGAGATTTAATTATTGTTCCATTTACCTTTCGTAAATATTCTCCTTTTTGCTATTTTTCATCATGATGTCCTAGCGTCCTGCTTTGTTCTGAACCGATAACAAAATATAAGGAAGTTGGTATAATTACTTCCTATTCACTTTCGGTTCCAGTTTTCATCTCTTTTTCAACGTTAAGATTTCCATTATCCTAGATTATGATTCTTGTCCATGTCCTTGTTTTCATTTTATGTATGAAATAATTAACTAAAGCAGGAACCAATAACACATAGCTCAGATATTAATAAGTCTATGGTGATTATAATTCTGATTGAAATTAGTAATACCTGACCTAAACTCTTTTTTATTTGAAATAAAGATTAACTTTATTACAGGAGAAGACTAATATAGGTACTGCCTGTTGTCTAATCCTTTTTTTAAATACTATAAAATTTGTTGAAACCTATAAGAATAACTCCAATCTTTTTTAAGTTTCCTCGGACATTCTTTAGCAATGTAGATTGCGATTTTTTTTTATCTGTGTGGCAATGGGCAAAATAAAGGAAAATCTTGTCAAAACTTTAAGACATGTCTAGTACATGTATATATGATTAGCTATTGTTTCAGTTTGTGTGCTGGGTGTTCTAGCTGGTCAAGTGAATGGTCAGTGTCCCGATGCAGCCGCATGTTTCAACGACCTGGGTATTAACATAACAAACCCTGCCGCCGGTCTGGACGGTATAATAAAGACGATATGTAGGTAAGTATGTCTAAACATTTTCTTCAAGTTGAAAATCTCACACACACTAATCTCGCTTACACTTTCACACAATTTGTCATTTTAATAAAGAGCTATGGCGGGTTGCTATGCCTATTTCCCCCAGCTATGATCCGCTACAGTGCGCGCTTCCAACCGCCCACTGTTATGACGCGTCCTCAGGTATTTCTATACAGGTACATTGAAGCTCGATCGGAATCCCGTGTCTAATAATAGATTATTGCAAACAGACGAATTCAAGGCCATGGCTACTAATACATGCGTATTTCTAGTTATGCTGTATAAAACACAAGATCGTACATTCATTACCAACAAGTTTGAAACGATTTAGTTTTCATTACTACTGCTACGTCATGCAATTACGTGTTTTTTTAAAAAACACGCATCTTGATTTTGTTCTTTAACTCGTAATTATAAAATTACATATAGTTTACGAAAAGCATGTCTTACACGCGTATTGCGCTCCTAACTTTCTGCTGCAGTCTTCCTGCATTTAAAACAAATGAGACCGGCCTCGACGATGAATTTTCACGCATGTTCGGTAATACCTTTTCGATAACAACACTTCATTTTTTTTGGCTTTGTACCAATCCAATATATTTTGTATTTCGGCATCATCTGAATGTGGATTCGAACCTACACTGTTCACATTTTCTGGTCACAAGCTAACTGCGTTACACATTAGGCTACATCGGACATAGACAAAAAAGGGAAATACAAACTGCTTTAACCCAAGGAACATCTGTCGTAGTTTAAAAAACTTGATCAACCTAGCTAGTTTTTCATTATTTTGAGCACTTTCCAAAGGAGGACCACTTTTCCGTAATACGATTTGTTTTTGCATATTACATCACGAAATCAAAATGTTTATTCAAAAGTTGGTCCTCGGATGGGAAAGTATTGAAAGTATTTTTTTAAGTCTGGGAAACCTCTTCACTTTCATAGACATAGTGAATATGGCTATATCTGCAGTATTATATCAACAATACCGAATATCTCAACAGTTCAAAAATTCATATTCAATTGGTTTTTTATCTATTCCATGCATTTTTGCTACTAAATATTATTTACTCATCAATAGTTATGTCCGTTTTCAAAAATGCCGACTTAGGGAAATACGGGCAGTTTTCCGCCATACCTCTTTGTTCATTTTTTGCATTTACGTTGCATTTGTATAAGGAAAGCAGAAAAGGAGAGATTGATAAAAAGAAAATAGACAGAGGATGAAAAAAGGCAAGGACGAACTATAGACAGAGAGAGAGAGAGAGAGAGAGAGAGAGAGAGAGAGAGAGAGAGAGCTACACAAAATATTTTGATGTCGTATGGATAGGGAAAATGTATATAAAACAACTCATAAACTAGTGACTAATAATATTACATATTATAACTGTTAACAGTATTCTTAAAATAATGTTCAGCAAATTGAAGATTTTGTCAACTTTGTCATTCAGGAATTCTTACTGAAAATGGGGTCAAATTAGTGTCTAATGTGCGGACCTCCCTTTCGATTTGTAAATGGTCTAAACTGAATTTATTCAAATCATTAATTACATGACATGAACTGTACAAATATATGCAGGCAAACATATTATAAAGAAACACGTACAGTGTATTTATATACACATTTCTCTTCTTAACAGAATGGTTTCCTTGTGAAGTATTATTATTTGGCAATAGTATGATAAATGCACACATAATGTGCAAAATTTGAACTGTCGAGAATCTCTTGTACCTAAATAACAAAACACTGGCAGAAAATTAAAAAAAAAACGTGGTCATGGCATTTCTATCTAGTAGGTTCGTTCTTGTGACAACGTTTTAAAAAATGTTCGTTTGTTTCGAAGGCAGTTAGTCTCGACATGATCCTGTAGCACAATCTACAAGATTATTTTTGGAAGGAAAGTAATCGAACGAACTCTAATCCACACGAAGCCCGATATGGTGGATGTGTCCTATACGGATACCGTCATTGTAGGTTTCATTCAAGCACATTTTATTGACATTTAACAATCAAAGGGATTGAAACCAATTTCTTACATATTACTAGGCCATTTCCCAATTGTAACTTTAGTAAGGAGAAAAAGCAACATTTCTTTTTTAATAGTTTTTCATAGTGTCTGAAATTTCGTTCCATATCACGATGTTTGCAGGGAGAAACGGTTGTTTTATTCTTATGATGTTGTCGTGAAATTGCTGCATTTGTTTTTGGTATCGTGTCACTGAGATATGTTTTTATGTACTGTGAAATCATATATTTTCGTGAGGCCCAAATATCGTGGTTTTCCGACAAAATATAATTTCATGGATAAATTAATTCGTGAAATAGTTACTCCGATGACTATGAATTCGTTGATGCAGATTACCCGAAAAATCATCGAAATACAAAAAACACGAAAAGTATTGATTGCACAGTAATTGGAAAAGTTTACAATGTCAACTTAACGTCAAATAACTAATCCTTACTGAACAGAACGTGCATCCTCGATATCTAGGGGTTACGGTCACTTTCGCTCTCAGCACCCCTGGACTATGTCCTAGCAAATTCGAAGGCTCAGTGAACGCTACTTTGTGCCTTTGATGTACCTCAAAAATAATCTTGCGTTTGCGTAACGGTAAAACTTACTGGCTTTGAAGTTGGGCGTCGCCCCTCTGTTATCTTCAAAGGACAAGTATCAGCCTAGTGATTGGTCATTTTCTTTACAGGACACCAATGAAATAGCTAGTCGCTTGCCTTTAATTTTCTATGGCATACACTGTATTTCAGGGGTGCAGAGAGTGAAGATGAGCGTTAACCCTGAATATCGGGGATGCAGAATGTGTAGCTCAAATTTACGTGCAAGACACCGTCTAATACTATTTTATGTAAGAACTATCTGTCCTCTGTCGCACAAAACTGAGAATAGTGCATGTTTCAGAATGACCGTAATATATATTTGAAAGTCCAAATGTCTGCCTATATAATATTTATTTCACTAGCTTTCCTCATTTTGAACTCTTTTTTGAAATTATATGCACACATGTACTTACAAGCCTTTCGTTATCTGATATTTTATATCGGTTTATCACAAATCCACAGGTGTTCCAAACATAGGTACATTTAACGCACACACGTTAGAAGTATATACACAAATTGTTACAAACTGATAAAAGCAGTCGAAGGTCAAGTTAATGTGAAATAGCTATGTGTCATTAGAATGTTTGTCTAAATGAAACATTGGACGGTTCGGGACAGATCGTGCTGCCGACACCGTTGGGAAGGAGTGTGTAAATTAAAACATAATGAGTGTCATAATAGGATTGGGAGATATTCTGATAAATATGTTGAGGTCATCATGAGGGATTGACATCTTAAGGAAAGATAAACAATGTTATGTATGAAGGTAGACGGAGAACAATACGTGGCAATAAGTCGTCAAGCGATGTTGAGGTTAGGGAGCCAAGTATACAATGTCACTGGTACGGCTGTACAACTTTCATTTTAATTTTAATCACTGCCCATTAAGCATTAATTTAAAAGAAGAACTAATTATATTTCAGCAATACTGACTTTACGGGAACGAACGAATATTTTCAGTTGATTGAGGTGAATTTTTATCTTTAAAATTAGATTAATGATATGAAAATCCTTTATGAGGGATAAATTATGATAAAAGTATCTACTATTCGACTTCTGGTAGAGTCTCGACTATGTCGAAACAAGTATTTATCAAGCGTCCTAGACAATATAAGAAATATTCAGCATCAACTACTAAATTTCTATTCCCAGAAGTTCTTTCACCCAAAGACCAGCAGATAGTTTTCCTATTTGTCAAGTTATAATATAAACTCCAAGAATCAGATACTGATTTTTTTCTTATAAATATAATTCATTTTTTTTATATTCATTGATTTGATTTTAACCTCCATCTACAATTTGTTACGAAACTTTGCTTTAGAAATTAATAATGGTACACGATGAAATCGTTAAGAGTCGGGATCGCCATATCGGAACAGCATTTATTTGACATAGTTTGTCAAGATGGTTGGATTGATAAGGTGGTTTTTTTTCAATCGTTAAAGTGGAAACCTGTTGGAGTGGCATTCTTCATATTTCAATGATAGGGAATATGTTGGTTTAACGTGAATAAAAGTAAAATTGGCAAAACTGCAATAAATCAGAAAAAAGGCAATAAAATTGGAAATCGTCTCCGTTGAGGATCTCTACCATAAAATATTAACTTCGCTTCTGAATTTAACAAAGAAATATCGCGTTCATCAGTGTTACATTTTATATTATTATTCCTCATCGATTTTACAGCGTGTCTGATTTAAACACATCACATGACAGGTTTACAAAACAACGAGTATCACCCACGCCATCTATTTTCCTTGTCGAGTATCCCTCTCGGAACCTCTCGCACATTATCGGACGAGTTGTCTCTCTGTATTAGACTCTCTAACGCCCGATGTGTTCCGGACGACACCCAAACTTCCATGGCACCTCCCAACAGCTAAAGAACTTAGAGGGCTATAATTGTTGTTCAATTTGATGTAAATTCAAAACACTGACAGTGATAGGTATTTGTATTATATATATGCTACCAGACCTAATGAAATAAAGCCGAACAGGTCAGTCACAACAGTGACAACACAGGGGATCGTTGATATCACACAGAGACTCCACAGATGGAATTTCAGAATAATAAAACACTTATTGTCCCGGTGTGAGAAAGACCTGAAGAGTTGTTCCCTCTCTTCAGGTCTCCCTCACACCAGGGCAATAAGTGCATAAGGTAATGTTTGTAGCACGCCATCTAAAACAAACAAAAGTAGCTAAGGTGTAGGAACCCGTTTCTGAAATTGGACTACTATAAAATTCCTTTGTGCAGAAACAACATGCTGTTGCTGTAGAAAAGACTATTCTTGGTAAGTGCTATTTGTTATTCATTTAATTGTAATAATGATTACATGTTACTAGCTTGATGGCTTGAAAAAGGAGAAAGAATCCGTGTATAATGGTTTTTTTTTATCTTCGTATGTATTTCAGCAAGTCTGCCCAGGTATCGCATTGCTATGATGTTCTTTTGCAATGTGCATTAATCGCTCCGGACAAAACTGTGCTTCCAACAGAGCAGGAAATGCAAATGGCTCTTCAAACGCTGTGTCAAAACCAAACTGGTGAGTAGATAAACAAATGAATAAGTATTATTATTTGTAAGCATATTTTTAGGCAAATATGTGGACTCTGGTAAGTTTGTGATTGTAAAAAGGCAGTATTGATATTGTGTCGGATCCTGATGGAGTAAACTAACTAGATATTGTGTGAAATTTTGATGTTAAAGTAGCATATGTATCGTTCATGGTCGTGGACTTAGAAAGAAAGATGCAGATTTTTCATGATAGCAAGTAAAGGTATTTGTATGTATAACTGAAAGGAAACGATAGATGTGGGTAGAAACAGTGTACACAAATAGTTGTTGGTAGAAACAGGGTACACAAATAGTTGTTGGTAGAAACAGCGTACACAAAAAGATGTTGGTAAAAACATCGTACACAAATAGATGTTGGTAGAAACAGGGTACACAAATAGTTGTTGGTAGAAACAGCGTACACAAATAGATGTTGGAAGAAACAGGGTACACAAATAGATGTTAATAGAAACAGCGTACACAAATATCTGTTAGTAGAACCAGCGTACACAAATATATGTTAGTAGGACCAGCGTACACAAATGTATGTTGGTAGAAACAGCGTACACAAAAAGATGGTGGTAAAAACATCGTACACAAGTAGATGTTGGTAGAAAAAGCGTAGAAAATATATATGTTGGTAGAAACAGCGTTCACAAAAAGATGTTGGTAGAACCAGCGTAAAAAATAGATGTTGGAAGGAACAGCGCACACAAATTGATGTTGGTAGAAACAGCGGTCACAAATAGATGTTGGTAGAAACATCGTACACAAGTAGATGTTGGTAGAAACAGGGTGCACAAATAGTTGTTGGTAGAAATAGGGTACACAAATAGTTGTTGGTAGAAATAGGGTACACAAATAGTTGTTGGCAGAAACAGGGTACACAAATAGTTGTTGTTAGAAACAGCGTACACAAAAAGAAGTTGGTAAAAACATAGTATACAAATAGATGTTGGTAGAAACAGTGTGCACAAATATATGTTCGTAGAAACAGCGTACACAAATATGTGTTAGTAGACCCAGCGTACACAAATGTATGTTGGTAGAAACAGCGTACATAAATATATATTGGTAGAAACAGCGTTCACAAAAAGATGTTGGTAGAACCAGCGTAAAAAATAGATGTTGGAAGGAACAGCGCACACAAATTGATGTTGGTAGAAACAGCGGTCACAAATAGATGTTGGTAGAACCAGCGTAAAAAATAGATGGTGGTAGGACCAGCGTACACATTTAATGTTGGCAGAACCAGCGTACACGAAAATATGTTGGTAGAACCAGCTTACACAAAAAGATGTTGGTAGAACCAGCGTAAAAAATAGATGTTGGTAGGAACAGCGTACACATTTAATGTTGGCAGAACCAGCGTACACAAAAATATGTTGGTAGAACCAGCGTACACAAAAAGATGTTGGTAGAACCAGCGTACACAAATATCTGCTGGTAGAACCAGCGTACACAAAAAAATGTTGGTAGAAACAGCGTTCACAAAAAGATGTTGGTAGAAACAGCGTACATAAATATATATTGGTAGAAACAGCGTTCACAAATTAATGTTGGTAGAAACAGCGTATACAAATAGATGTTGGTGGAACCAGCGCACACATAAATAGAAGTTGGTAGAACCAGCGTACACATATATATGTTTGTACGATCAGCGTACACAAATATATGTTGGTAGAAACAGCGTACACAAATAAATGTTGGTAGAACCAGCGTACACAAATATATGTGAGTAGTAACAGCGTACACAAATAGATGTTGGTAGAACCAGCGTACACAAATAGATGTTGGTAGAAACAGCGTTCACAAATAGATGTTGGTAGAAACATTGAACACAAAAAAAATGTTGTTAGAAACAGCGTACACAAATATATGTTGGTAGAAACAGCGTACACAAATAAATGTTTGTAGAAACAGCGTACACAAATTGATGTTGGTAGAAACAGCATACACAAATAGATGTTGGTAGAAACAGCTACACAAAAATATGTTGGTAGAAACAGCGTACACAAATAAATGTTTGTAGAAACAGCGTACACAAATTGATGTTGGTAGAACCAGCATACACAAATAGATGTTGGTAGAAACACCTACACAAAAATATGTTGGTAGAACCAGCGTACAAAAATATATGTTAGTAGAAACAGCGTACACCAATAGATGTTGGTAGAACCAGCATCCACTAATAGATGTTAGGAGAAACAGCGTTCACAAACAGATGTTGGTAGAAACAGCGAACACAAATATATGTTGGTAGAAACAGCGTACACAAATACATGTTGGTAGAAACAGCGTACACAAATAGATGTTGGTAGAAACAACGCACACAAATATATGAGTCCTACAAGGAAGAAACATATATGATGCAATGACATACACTCTTGGCAAAGTGTATTTATTACCAAATTTTAATGATGTAATGAGTGCGTTATATTCACCTTTTAAGACAAAATACGACAGACTCTGCTGGTAGAATGTTTAGTTCCCAATATTTTCTATAACCATGACTGCCAGTTATTTCTCCTGGGTAGTGGCATATTTCATAATATACCTACTTCACAGATTGTTTATTTGAAATTAAGCAGATATTCCCTTTATTCAAATTGAATTAGAAAATAATGGGGTTTTACCCACCTTTCCCTCTAATTCAACTATAGCTTAGACTATTTTGATTTCTAGATTTTTGGCCCCTAGTATAATTGATGAGTCCTAGAAGGACGAAACAGCTGTAGGATGCAGCTGTATTCATTTTGACATACAATATCCATTACCAAAGTTTAAAGGTACAGTCACTTGTGTGCTACGCTCATCTTGCAGTATGGTATCAAATATCACAAGACCATGTCTAGGAATCATGAAGATTTTAATCTCAATTTTTGAGACAATGCATATGCACACATCCATTAATGTAAATCCAGGTAAGTCATAAATATAACCTTCATCCAAATCAAGTGTTTAGATGTTGATAAAATAGTCTAATTTCAAGCAAAACTGTTTTTGGCCTAAGATTTCTGAAGCTGCTATTTTAATTAAAAAACAATCAACTTTTGTTAACCACTGTTGTTGGCACGGATAGCAGGGGGTCTTAATCTTAAAGGAAACTGAAGTTCCGAGGAAAAACGAATGAAGTCGGGCAGTTGGACCAGTAGCTTTTCATGTCCGATCGGGGAATCGAACCCAGGCCGCATTTGTGAAAGGCAGGTGCGCTATCCACTGCGCCACCCGACCCCGCTAAGGGAGCTGCTATTTATTTGAAACGTTCAAACGTATTGATGGCGTACATATGTATGTCACGTGATAAACTTGATAATATTTTGTGTATTCTATGTCACTAAAATAGGTACAATACCATTACTTGCTATAACATTGTACAACTAAAACCGATGGAAAGAAAGTTTATGTTTTAATAATATGAAACGCTGTGGTAGTCTTAAAAATATAATGAAAGTTTCGTAAAACACAGCAGAATCTTGCTAACTATAGCCTTAAAAGCACTATTCATAGACAGTTTTCTTTTCGAACAATAATTCTATAATTTAAGGAGCAATAGGTAAGAGATCTAGAGTATCCCCCAATTCAATTAAATGTTTTGTGTAGAAAAAGTAAAAAAGGACGGTTTCAAATTTTTAGACTATGATTTATTTTTAACANGGGGGGCGGAGGGAGAAATATCTTTGTTTCTGTTGCTACCAAAGCATGCAACTCAAATGCACATTTCAGTAGTCATAAACAGTGAAATTTTCGTTCGAATATACGGATATAGATATATATATTTTGGGATTTTTTTTATTAGGCGAATCAACAACGGTAGGATACAGGTGAAATTGGTAGTTTAACTGTTTGTTTGTGATGCAGCTGTTTCTTCAGATTCACATTTTTGATGTATATATCGTACTTCAAAATACATATATACAATCATTAGATATATAAGAAATAAAGTTGGTTGTTCTGTTTCTGCTATTGGAATATGACAATCAGAGATAAATAGGTCAATAATCAGAAATGTCATCATGTTAGTTTATTTTTCAGAGCTTGATGCCGGTATTACCTGCCTTGTCCAACAACCGAAATATCCTACAGAGATAGCAGCCTGTGCTCTCCAGATCCAGAAAAGTGTTACCGGCCTGACGCCTGCTCAAGAGCGAAACCCAAAAGGATTATTCTGCAGGTACTTTGATAGAGATCCATGGAGTAAATATTAATCGAGAAAACAATACCCTTACATTAAGAATAAAATTCTGAAAATTTTCTATTAAAAACACAAACTGAATTATATGATTTTTAAAACTCAAAAGTATAACTCTTTTGAAAAAGATATCTTTTAAATAGTCATAGTTGTGTACATGTAATGAAGATATATTAGGAGTGCTAGAACAAACATGTAAGCGTTTACTGGTCATTTCTCTTGTTCTTTTTAACAGCTAGAAATAAGTCCAATTTAGTGTTACATTAACGTTGAGGGAAAATGCCAGAAATAATATGATTATTCCATATGCTACATCGGTTACAATATGTATTTTGTATTAACTTACTGATAAACCTACCTACATCACAAAGTAGAAATTTCATATTAAAATAAGATGCATAACGTCACGCTACCACGATTGGTACCAGTTTAAAAGTGTTTCAGTGATATTTAAAATACCGTATCTTTTATCTGAAATGTATCTTGATTCTTAACGATGACTGCCCATGATGGTTCATTTTCAAGAAAAAAAATTGATTATAAGTAAAAAAAAAGTATTTAAACTAGGTAATGTGCCGATTGCAAGTAAAGAGTTTTACAAAACCGGTTAGAGGTTAATCAACATGTATGCATGCTTATATTATAAATTGTGGAAGGGTGACGTTTCGTCTTGTTTTGTAACTGCATTTAGTCCTATTCCATACTATACATTGTACTATTATACATATCATAGCGTAACATCTTATTTTTTGTCATTGCAGCTTGGTGGAGCCATTTTTTAACTGTGTCACGTCGATGTCCTCTTTTCGAGGTTGTAACAGCGACTTTAAAAACACTATAATTGTCTTTGAAAAACAACTCCTGCCAGCAGATTGTCCCATAAGTTCTGGCAGTCCGAGGTTAGACTCTTGGCTGTTTCTCGGGGTCATTGCCGCTCTGGTCGCATCGAGTTTTAAACGGCTTTAAATGGACCACCTGACCATGAACCCGCAATTACTAAAAAAAAACCGGATTAAACAATGATTTTTCTTGTGGTAGTATTTGTCACTCGATCGTTTTGTCCTGTATCAGAAATGTTTATTAGCATACATTAATCATATCCTCAATTTATATATACATGTATATAATGTAAAATCGTAATTATAAGACTGAAGGGTTAACTGTGAAGTTTTAAAATTAATATTCATGTAGTCATCATTTAATAAAGAAAACAAAATAAAGAAATTGAAATTATACTTTTGTTAGATCAAGATTTTTGAGGAATAAACTGGTTGTTTATTTTCAGGTTTGATATATGGATTTCTTGAGTTAAAATAAACATTTGATATAAAGATGTTATATCACAGAAACTGTTCCAGCGATTAAGTTAAAAATATATATTCTTTAAAATCAACTGAAATTAATATTATTTTGGTAGAATGATAGATAATTATTGCATAATAATTACACGAAAGTACAGTATTTTCAGAGGTAATAATTGAACATTCGAACAAAGAGCGGAGCATAAAAAAAGATTTGGTCATAATTATAAACGAATATTTAATGCATAAGCCTACTGCGTGTATGTGAATCTATATGTCAAAATGCCTCGATAGAGTTAGACAGCGAAAGTGAAAGTGAAACGATAAGACGGAATGTAACAGGTAGACAAATTAAATGTTAGGGAGGAAGCCAGAGAGCAGAAAGGTAAAACTCGTTTGAACCCGCAGAATAAAACTTGTTATGGTGTTATACATCCGGTCTTATACATATCGTTTATCCCTTAGAAAATTGAAAATCTGTTTTTTTTCTAAGTTTAGCAGATTTAAGTCATGATTAAGATTAGCATCTCCTGTGTATGTTGAAAATGGCAAATGTTCTATGAAGTGCCGAACGATTCTTTGTCTAAATCAATTAAAATAATCGAATCGAAAGAAATGGAATGTTTTATGCTAAATCCTCAATCAACAAATGGTGTGCTATATAAATCGTCTGTTGTCCATGGTCTTTCATCCGTCTGTCGTTTGGCCGATTATTTATTTAAGATTGTTCGTAAGAACATGTTTGTTTCCAAATTACCTTGAGATGATTGTTTACAGTTAAATGATTGTTATCACTATTTCCCAGAGAGAAGTCCAGGGATCTCTACTGAAAGTTTGTTGTCTATGCTTCTCAGGGTTTTTAGTTCTGTATGGTGACAATATGCTTGATCAGGAACTATATATACTAGACAGGCATTTTAAATTCGATCGTCGAAGTTTGTCATTGTTAGTTTTCAATGTGTAACGTACATATCTTTCATATGTATCACGCCGCGTGCCGTCACAAGTCACGGACAGAAGATGTGCTATTTTATTCAACATGTTTAGCTTGCATATCTTGTCGAGTGTATCAAAACAAATTACCTGATGTTTCATTTTGACGATCAACAAATTAGACAGTTTTTAAACTATTTCCCTATAAATCTCGAAACAACGCCAAATTCAGTATACTTTTAAATAGTTATAAACTTAATTTTATAAAAAATATTTTTCCATTTAACATTTATCACTCTTGTTGGACAAGATGGAAGCGTGTAGATTGTCTTCGTCTTTATTAGGGAGGAAACCATAGTACCGAGAGCAAACCCACGTGGTTGGGCAGGTGACCTATCGGAAAATCGAGCTACAGTCGACTTGATAAAACGCGAGTGCGCTATCAACTGCGAAATTCACAATTCGTATCGCCAAGTCACGTGATAAGTTAAGCATGTCTAAGGACAAATTTTCATAAATGATGGAAGTATATCGATTCCTGCTCTACAGTAGATATTCTGTAAATCTCTATTTTAACTTTGAGAGGCATGAAACAAAAATGGGGTCAATAATGCAATAATTTATATTGTGAATATTAATTCTTCTAAATTTAAAATCCAGAATCAGCAAAAAGACAGATTTACAAAAGCTTCGTTCTTTTCCGGATTTATCTGTGCATATGGTCGACCACACCCACATAAAACCTTTTCAAATCAAAGAAATAGTTTTGTCCCGCCCTTCACAGACGTATCTCCTGTTTTAGCTGGATAATTTCAGCTTCTCACCCCTAGGTGGAGATAGCCTTGTGCAGACTTAGCATAAACATCGTATGACGTCACGTCATTAATGCATTGACGTCACGTCAACAGTAGCAGACAATGGAAGACATCTCTTGATTTTATGGAAAAAACATGCAATCAACGCTTATATTTCATGATATCACCGCTTGTCGGTGGATTTGTAAGTGAAACAGGATTGGAGACAAACAATCATCCCCTACCTTGAGGTGTGACATAATTGGCCAACCCTCGGGACGATGTTCTCTGATATCTTGCCCTCGGCAAAGACTCGTTTAAGACAATCAAGAGTATTATCCCTTGGATTGGAGATTTCTCTGTCACACCCTCAAAGAAGGGGATGATTGTTTTTCTCCCATCCTGTTTCACTTTCTTTTAGTCTTCAAATTGAGAATCATGAAACTTTCAGAGAAACCACAAGGCATTTATATATAAATATATACATCAGTCATTTCTAGTATATAATGCATTATCAAATTAAAGCGTTACGCATCATAATAGGTTTTAATAACCGGTTTGACAGATACATGTTATGCGTGTTTTATACCTATACATTATTAAATTTACAACTTACAGATGGGATAAAATACAAGTTAAAAAACTTTAAACTCGGCGTCTCCCTTAAAATAACAATAAAGATAAATACGTATAGCTTCAAAGTATAAAACTATGAAATCTGAAAAAATGAAATAATTCGAACTAGTTAAAAGTAAAAAATACAAACCATATAGGTATATCGTTGTGTTTTATATACCCTACCCTGTCTTCACAACATGTATATAATTTGACAAGCATTATAACATAACGCTAGCGAACATGTACGTAACACTATTTATATACTCAAATTGAAACTGATGTCGATGATATATGTTATAAAGTCGTCACTAAACTAGTATAAAATTTAAAATCAATTTCGGAATTAACCCACTTTTGTTAACACGGTGGCAACGTTATGTCGGAGCCGACCGCGTCACGCTTTGTTGACATCCTTGTAACTTTCTATACAACGCACTGTACCACAATACATATAAAGGCCCATACTCTTTAATAACGATGAAAACGTCGTGCACTTCCAACTCAACAAAGGTCTGCTTAAATGTAGCTATTTCGTTGGTAACATTCACCTATGTATGTTTCTGTAAGAAACGAGAAGATAACTTATCCAAAAATATTGAAGTAGTATGCATTCTAGTAAAAACAACACCACTAAATTAGCGATATAGAACAATCTGAAAATATATGAAAAGAACGACAAACATCTTGCAGACATGTTAAGTCAGACACAAAAGACATGTGCCGTTGACTTTGTTTTTTAGTTGATTTACGTCCGCTTCACTGCCGAGACTGCCGAGTAGTTCGCTCGGCTATCCAGCAAACGTGGAACATCTATAATGGCCGGTTTAATTCTTTGTGTAGGTATTTCCACACTTCCATTGATGCGTACTAAGAACGGCCATCCGTATTTCAGTCAGCGTAACAATAAATAAACTGTGATATGTAATCGAGATATTTTCATAATTCATTTATTATGCAAGTAATTTTTGAAATAAAAAGTGATGTTTTACTCAATAATATGCATGAATGCTGAAGTGTGACAAAAAAATCACTGTATGTATGTTTTTTCTAATAAAGTAAAGGTTGCTGAGACTGGTCCCTGGGTTACATGTTTTATCTGCAATATACAACACAAAAGACATGAATTAATCGAAAGAGTTGCTGTAATATACGCTCAAGGAAGACAGCCGTTTAGTCATTACGTAACACAGTCATACCTTTGCATACCTGTAACATAGATTTACCTATACTCCCCATTAGAGAATCGACTCGCCTAAAAGCATTGTCATTGTGTCTTTACACCTACAAACAAATATCAATGGTAATTCAGTTACACGTTAATGCGCCCATACACAAATATGAAACACACAGGTTTTTTCCAGATAACACGTTTACGTATACGCAAAGTATACGCAAAGTATACGCATACGTATATGGCAGATATCATATTTTCTTGGTGAAAAACAATTTCTATGCTCAAAATGTGACAATGTGAAACAAAGGTCAAACAGGTACTGAGCAGACCGCTCCTGTATCAAGACACGCACAAACAAAACACGAGATCACGACTTCGCTTTTACCTGCTACGTAAATAGATGTAAGCCATTTCACCCGAAGCTATAGTAGTGCTCACCTTATACAATTTACCATCACTTAGACATTGCTTGACAATGACACCAGTCGGTGTGGAAACGTAGTACAGTCTTATCTCACTGTTTGTTTAAACATTGTGTTTTCTGAACTACTTTAAGCCACCATATGCGTATACGTGTTATCTGATGCCAAAACTGGACAGCGTCCAGACTATGAAATACCTGACGATAGCCTTGCAAATATCGTAGATACAGTAGTGATGTGTTACATTCTTATTTTCATGATTATGAAATGTTAAATGTTTTTAATATTCCATTGCAGCGATGTAGCCAGTGCTCATCCAGACCTAATACTTATGGATTTAAAGTACTTGACCTGTGTAAAAATAACAATTTATACATTGCGAATGGTAGAGTTGGTAAAGATAAGCATTTAGGTAAAAAAGAATGATAAGAAAAATGAATTTATACATCATGTACAAAGTTGTTCTGTCGATGAATTAAACCGCATAAATGATGCACTTAATGTTTTGTCTGACAAAACTTCTGTCAGTCAGTCTGAAGTAAATGATGCAGTTAATTATATTTCCGAGTTGTTCCGAATTTCAGCTACCGATACTTTCGGATTAAAACAAAATTATAGAACACTCAATACACATAAAGTTGCTAATGATAAGCCATGGTTTACAGCTGACTGTCACAGAAAAGGCGTGCCTTTTTTTATGCAAAACATAAATTTGAAAATCATAGAACCAGTAGTAACCGAGTTAATATGAATAAAACCTCTAGAGACTATAAAAAGGTCCTTAAAAAGAGCTATAACACATATAGACATAACATTGAAAATCAAATACGAATCACGTCAAAATCAAATCCTAAAGATTTTTGGAATATTTTAAATTCATTCAATAAATCTAAAAATGATAACAGTGATGCTGATATATCTTTGGACGAGCTATATGAATACTTCAAGAAATTAAATAGTTCAGATGAAGATGAAGATGAGGATGAGTTTA